GAGAGAGAGAGAGAGAGAGAGAGAGAGAGAGAGAGAGAGAGTTAAGGACCCTGACAAAACTATTAGCTTCCCAGGGACTTGGTTCTCAGCCAAAACCTGAATAGAAAGGGATGGTGGGAAGGGTTGGAGGTTGGACATATTGTGTGACCATAAGCTATATGGCTGTACATCCTGGTCAATAACATAGACCTTGGCCAGTCTGAAGCTCAAGGTCCTTCTTGCACTCTGGTCAGTAGCCATCTACCCCTAAACTGCCACCACCATTTCTACCTTGGAAAATTCAGTCAGATAAGAAGGAAAGAAGGATCCTAGAGCCATAAGTAACCTCAAATTTTTGTCCCTGTTTTTCCCCCATTTTTTATCTGATTCCCTTTTCCCTTGCCCATTCTCTCCCCACTCCATTTTTTCCTTCCTTCTCCCTAGCCACCTCCCTAACCCACACTATGACCCCAAGGACAGAGGAGATGAAACAGACCCTCAGCTTCCTCCACTGCAAGGCCCACAAAGGTCCACACTACAAGTCTTTCTCACTCTATGGTAAGAATTGTCTCTCTTACCTCCCATTGACTGCAGGATGCGCTGTCTGAAGTCCTGAAGTACAGACTGTAACTCTTCATCTAAATAAGCAGGCAGCCCTGAGGAGGAGAGGAGACACCCTCTCTTAGGAGTCACTATCAAGGCTGAGAGTCAACTGAGCTTACAAGGCATTGCTCAGTGTTCGTTCACATTCTGCAAATTCTGCTATCCCAAAGCACCAACTATAGATAGATTATGTTGCATTTAGGAAAATAAAAGGACTAGATTAGGAGTCAGAAAGCCTATATTCAAACCCTATCTCTGCTACTGTGTTGCCTTGAGCAAATCATTTAATCCCTCCTGGCCTCAGTTTTCTCATCTGTAAAATGGGAAGTGGACAAGATGATCTCCAAGGTCTGATAAAACACACCTTGCTAAGCACATTGCTGAGTCAGGGATTCATTTAGATACAGGATGTGTTCTGCCATTTCTTGATATAGGAGTATCAAGTGTTTCTGCCTTGCAGGAGCAGTCTAATGAGTCACTCAGGGCAATCTCCTCCCTATTCCTTGGCACAAGTCATGTTTATCCCATTCATCAAGCAAGAATATTTTCCCTATCCTCTTTATCTGTCCATATCCTATCCATCCTTCTGGCCCAGTTCAAATCTGACCTCATTCAAACCTTCCCTGACTATCTCAGTCCACAGTTATCTCTCCCCTACTTCTTCATTCCTACCTCATAGGTGGTATTTGTCTCTTCATTATGAAATGTCTTATATTTTTCTCTGTGTCTTGTCTCCTTACTTAGGCTAAAAGCTCTTTGAGGGCAGAAACCTAGTCTTCTTCCCTTTTATCCCCCATAGCACCTAACAGAAGACTCGTTGAACTGAATGGATTTTGGGGGATGGGAAAATACATCATGAAATCTCCCCACGCTATAGTTTTTAATGGAATTTCAGGCATTTTGTACCCCTGAGTAGAAGTATGTTTTATCAGAGCTTGGAGATCATCTTGTCTACCTCCTCCCATTTTACAAATGAGAAAATTGAGGCATGGAGAGTTAAATGATTTGCTGAAGGCTACACAGTAGCAGAGAGAGTTTGAATACAGGCTCTATGACCCCTAGTCTAGTTCTTTTATTTTCCTAAATGCAACATATTCTATCTATAGTTGGTGCTTTGGGATGGCAGGTCAGAGTGATAGGAGTATGATGGATCCACATTCCATCTGAAACCAGACTTCCTTGAATAGACTGATGTGGAAAAAGAAGGCCAGTTACAGTGTTTTGAGGTGTGGAATTCATTTGAGGTTTTGGCAAAGTGGTTGTGAATCCTTGGTCTTCTCTGGGCCAGAATTAAGGCAGGGAAGAAAATGTTTTTCTTGTTTTGAAATATAAATATGGGATCATTAATATTTAAAAATTCAAATCAACAGTGTTTCCCTGGGCCAGATGAAGGATTCCCTTTAATATGAGGGTGATCATATTATTTTCTAGAGCCATGACTTCTCCTTTTGCATCTTTGTTCTTTCTTTTACCAATGATTTCTTTCCCTCTACTTAGAAATTTCCTTTAGGCTGAAAACCCAAAACAAAAATTTTACCTTGATAATACTATTTCAAAGTGATTATCTCCTTGCTTCTTTACTTTAGCACCTCTAGGTCACCTTCATTTGATAAAAAAGTAAGAGTGCAATTCAGAGCAGTTGTAATAGCTGGTACCCAAAGTTCTTTCATGTGTGAATGTAGCTGGCTGTGTACTTCAAATGCCTGACTGGTGGACTTCAGAGAACAGAGAGGACAAAGGGAGCATTGCCAGAACCTAAGCCCTGACCATTTCTGTGGTCAATGATATGTAGTATAGAAGGTGAGGGAGAAGAAGCACCTGGGGATGAAACCATGGCCATCTCAGGGTAGGGTAGGCAGAGCAGGGTAGGAAGTGCCCCTTCAAAGTCCTCACCTTCTAAATTCTCTGCCCTAGTTGCAGCTCTGAGTGTCGCTGGAGAACCCAGGAAGAGTGGAGGGAAGGAGTGTGCTCTTTCAAAGCTAGATTTTCCCCTTTTTGTACCATTGAGCAGGGGAAGTAAAGATTGAACCTGGCACCTACAAGCACTTGGAGAGATGGAGGACTACCCCTTGTTTTATCACACAGCCATGCTCACCTGGAGGTCCTGTCTCACCCTTTTCACCCTTTTCCCCTCGTTCGCCCACTCTTCCAGGAGCCCCAGTCAGTCCATCCCTTCCAGGGAGTCCAGGTATACCTCCAGGGGGTCCCATGGGGCCTGTAGAGAGAGAACCACAAGACTGGGTGAACACAGGAATCCATAGCCTAGAGGACTTGCAGCAAAAAGATGGACATCTTGACACAGGACTTGTACAAGTCCCACAACATAGTCAACTATTCTTAACAACTTCCCACAATTCTCTGCTTCGGTGATGCTTCAACCAAATCTCAGGGGAAGACAGAAAACATCCTACCTTTACCAAAAATTCTCTTCATCTAAAATTTCCTTTTTATTCCTCTTCATCTAGCCATAGTTTATCCATCTTTTAAGTACCAATCTCTTTAATGAAGTCTTTCCTTATTACTCCAACCCACAATGATCATGGCCTCCGATGACCCCCTATACTATTGCCAACAGCACACTTAGTTGAAATAAAACTGGCCTTTCTTCATCCTCAAGCAAGCATGTTCTAGAATAGGAATTCTCAACTTTTTTGTGTTCTCTACCCCTTAGGCAATCTGGAGAACCACTTCTCAGAATAATACTTTTAAAAATTCATAATTAAAGGAAATGCTAAATTTTTAATTAGACGTTAATGAAAATAAAGATGTAATTTTTCCCCATCTAAGTTCAAAAACCTCCTGAAATCTCTCAATGGAATCCTCAAGGGTCCATGAACCACAGGTTAAGACTTCCCTGTTCTAGAGCAAAGGCTAATGCAACCATTTTCTCATCTACCCCTGATATATAGGCCTGTCCTTCACAGTTTATCTTATCTGTGCTTCTGGATCCTTCCACTTTTCTCTATTTAGTCTGAGGGTTCCATCAGATCATAGGATAATAGCTTTAAAGCTGGAAGGGGCTTTAGAAGTCATCTAGTCCACCTTTTCATTTTAAACATAAGGAAACTGGGGTTCAAAGGGGTTGTTTCACTTACTACACCAGTAGTGTATATGGGGGGGGTAAGGCACTCCCCTCTCCCCATCCCATAATAATAGCAATTCACATTAATCGAGTACTTTAAGATTTATAAAGTGCTTTCCTCCTACCAGTTCTATGAGGCAGGTGGATGATACAAGTTTTATCCCCATTTTAGAGATGAAGAAATTAGACCTCAGAGAAATCAAATGACTTTCTCATTACTCTAGTTAGTAAGTCTGAGAGTCAGAATTTAAACCCAGATTTCATGATCACATCTAGTGCTCTCTTTCCAATAATAATCATGACACACTCAGGCAGGTGACAGGGAGCTTTCTTAGGTACCTGGTGGCCCAGGGTCTCCTTTGACACCATCCCGACCATCTCTGCCAGGCAGACCTGGAGCACCATGGGTTCCTGGGATACCGGGACTTCCAGAGCACAGTTCCATGCCACCCATGACCAGGGAAGGCACCAGAAGCATCAGGGCCAGGACCAGTGAGGACAGGGTCATTGCTCCAGGTCCACCTGCAAAGGTCAACGGAGGTATTTGCTTAGCAGAATAGATCATAATATGAGAGTCTTCCATCTTTTCTGAAATTTTATCTTTCATTTTATGCCTTCACACTGGCTTATCAGCTTGAGATAGGCCCCTTGCCCTTAGCCCCCATTACCACTCAAACTATCTTCATAAAGGGACTGCATACCCCTTGAAGATTGGAGATATTGGTCACAATATCTCTCTATAGGTTTTGTTACTAATTAGATGCTGCCTACAATTTCAACATTAAAGCTTTATTCTTTAAATGCCAGACTTTGATCCCTGGGAAGCAGTAGAAAGAATACTGGGCAGTGAGGAAACCTGAATTCTGGTCCCAGCTCTTTTACTAACTCACTCTGTGATTTTGGTCATTATACAGCATCTTTTGGCCTCAGTTTCCTCAACTGTATAATTAATTTCATCAACTATAACACACACACACACACACACACACACACACACACACACATATATATATATATATATATGTAGTGCTAGAAGTCATCTAGTCTAACCCTTTCATTTTATAGATGAGGAAACTGAGGCCCTAAGAGGTTGGTACTTGCCCAAGGTCATATAGGTAATAAATATTAGAGGCAGGATTAAAAACCAGGTCCTCTGACCTCAAAGCCACTGCTTTGCCCACTATCCTCTGCTGCCTTTGTACCCAAAGAAAAATAATATCACTTCCATAGGGGTGCATAGGGTTTAGAGATGGAACTATCTTAGATTTCATCCAATCCAGACGCCCTCATTTTGAACTGAAAACAGCAGATGAGGAAACTGGAATGTAAATTCCCCTATACCTGTAGGGGGCTGTAAAGAATATTAAATGCTTTGGGAATATACAGAGATAAAAAAGTTTGTATCAATCACTATTAGATTATAAGTTGGGCTGCCAGTAGGGATACAGGAATCATAAAATTTTAGATCTAAAATGGATTCATTATCCCTGCTTTAGAGCTGAAGAAACTAAGACACAGAAATATTAAAATCCCATTGACATCATCATTTATCAGAAAGTTAGCCAAATCAGTGAGTTGCTAGTTATTTTGGGATCCTGGGCAATACTTTCTTGAAACTACCTTCACCACTGAGACAGTGTCCAGTCCTCCCCAATCCCCAACATTTTTCTCATTATTAGTGCTGAATGTGTAGGCAAATTATTGGGAGAGTTCAACTTTTGTTAACCTTTTGGATATGAGGTCTACAGGGAGATGTGGGTAGGTGTTGGGAAAGAAAAAACAATGCACGTAGCTGAAGTTTTTCCTTGTTATTGTATTTCTGCAGCTCCATCTCTGCCTAGCTCTCCCACTCTCTCACTGGGTGCCTTGCCTGTGAATTTCCTAAATGCTACCTAGAACCCCCCACTTCAGTGTCCCATCTGCAGACTTTTCCACTGCATCTGTTATTCAGAACTTGCCTTAGGAACTCTTTCTTCTTCAGGGAACTTTTCTCAGTCTGTAGCCACAATGGAAGGGTCCTAATAGGCATTAGTTTGATAATTAATAATAGCTCAACATGTTGGCCCTCCTGAACACTTTGAATGACACCATTCCCTGGCCCCAAAAGGGAATGACTGTTTAATGGTGGAAATTTCAGGTATTGCTCAGACAGGTGGGAAGATATTGTTGTACAAGGAAGCCTTTCTGATTTCCCTATATCCCACCGTACTGCTCTTTCCTAAGAGTGGCTTAGCATAGCTGTGTCTGCTGTTGCCTGGTTCTCAATACCACCTTTGCATTTGCCCTGGTCCCTGTGTCCCTTAGCTAGGTCAAAGGAAGAAGGGATAAATGCCCTGGATACAGAGAAATTCAGAAACATTTTAAAGTTTAAGTAACTGACACTTACCTCTCTTCTTCCAGGCAGTGTCAGGAAGGAGAAGCTAGTGGTCCCATTTATACTGTTTGTAATGCAATATATCTAGATATATATATATATATCCTGTACCTGAAGGAAAGATCTGGTGAGTAGGGATTCTAGAAGTGTTGGTAGAGGGGAAGGAAAAAAAAAAACTCTTTTATTTACATATTTAATTTCTTCCCTGAACGTTCAAGTGAGCTGAAGGGGGTACTTGGTGGTTTCCTTCTGGGCAGTGGGTAAAAGGACCTTGGCTAATAAGATATGGGGAACCCCTACAGGTGAATGAGCAAGGAGTTTCTGATTCAGAAAATTTCAGAAAGACTGATGGACAGATAGATATTTTTGCAGTGCTGTTTAATTGAATCTACCATTCCTTTGAGTTACATTGCCCTGTCCCTCCTCTCCTCCTCTAAAACAATCTTGTTTCTCTTGATCTAAGTACCTCACATTTGAAATTATTCTGTTAATTAGTCCTGAGTCTCTAATATGAGAGATCTGAGTATGATTTATGGGGGGAGTCTTTCACAAAATTTCTCTGGCTCATGCCCCTACCCAGGCAAAAGCTGAGAACATCATTATCTAAATCACTCTTCTCTTTCTGAAAGGGCCCTTGGTTCCCCACAAGAACTCAGGTTAATCAGATAACTACTTCAGGACAGGATTAATGTAACCCAACATGAAAATGTTAAAAGGGTTTATAACAGGGGTGAGGGAACCTGTGGCCTTGAGGCCACGTGTGGCCTTCTAGGTCCTTGGGCACGACCTTTTGACTGAGGCCAAGTTTTACAGAACATGTCCTTTTATTAAGGACAGCACTTGAGGACCTAGAGGGCTACATGTGGCCTCAAGGTCACAGGTTCCCCACACCTAGTTTATAACTAAACCTTCCTACCCTCAGGAAAACTCTCCTCAGCACTCTGGAGGGTATCAAGCAAGTCCCCTCTTTGGCGGGTCCTATGCTAACTTGGGTCACATGACTCATGGTATCAGAAAATGAATGGGTCTATGCTGCTCTTCTTCATTGGGGTTCTTTGCTTCATCATTTTTTGGTGCATGTGAATACTTGATGTGCCAGTTTCTCTAGTACTAGCAAGGGCAAAGGCTATCAGTTTTATTATTTTCTAATGGTTCCTTGCCATTTCATCCATCATGTCTGTCTGGGGTTGAGTGCTCCTGTATATGAAGTTTGCTTTAAGGTCCAGTTTCTGGATGCAGCTGTGCATCTCTGCCTTTTGCCCACAAGGTCCACATGTTCCCACTTATGTATGGAAGCAGATCCTTTTCCTATAGGGGTCCCAGGAGTTTCCCATGAATGAGAGGGAAGGGTTTTCTCAAAGTGTGTCTGGAGAAGAGAATACTACTCATATGGCTATTATAAGACAATCGTAGACCTGATTCTTGCCTCATTCTTTTTCCACTGGCCCACACTGCCTTCATACCCATTTGTAGTTTTATGAAAGGTTCTGTTCATTTAAGATCCTTCCTTTTCTTCAGGGCAGCCATATAAGAAATATCTGAACACAAAAACAGCTGTGGCCTAGAAAAAGTTGTGTATAATTTTTTTTTCTACTTTCAATAAATTGAATCCAATTCTAAATGTATCAGGGGAACTCATTAACAAACCACATGGCAAAAAAGTTTTGTCAAATGAAAAAAACCCTATCATATCCTTTGTTTAATTGATCTGCTCTTTCCATTTGGATTTTGCTCTTTCAAGGTCACTTTTGGGGTTCTTTTAAAGATTGGAGTGTATCTGCATCAGACCATGCTATGCAGTTTGAAATGAATTATAAAAGCCACAGTCCTGATAATGTGGTACTGAGGAGGACTGGGCCCTTGGTGACTATGGGGAGTGACTGTATCCTAACCTTGTGGGACCTTGTCTCTGTCTCTGACATGGGTGGACAAAAACTGAGCAGTCATGGTTGCCTGAAGTCCACAGACAAACACATACAAATAAGACGACATCACTGTGGGGTTTTTTTTAGGGGAAGAGGGGCATTTTCCAGGTTATTTTATTTGTGTGTATATGTATATGTGTGTTCAGCAATTGTCCCCCTTTCATGGTTTCACTAGCATTTAGTACAATTCTTGGTACATAGCAGGTGCTTATTAGATTCTTGTTGGCTTGAACAACTTGACTGTAGGCAGTTGTGACTGTTGAGTTAGTTTTTTTAATTCAATTCAACAAATATTTAATAAGCACTGCTATGTACCAGGCACTGTGTAACATGCTAGAGATATAAAGGAAACCCAACAACAGTCCTTTCCCTCAAGGAGTTTATATTCTTTTGGAAGGAGAAAGTGTGTAAACAGATAAGTAAATACAAAGTAATTTCAGAGGTGGCAGATCAGGAGAGCACTAAGATTGGGAGTGGAGATAGGAAAAGCCTTTCATAGCAAGTGCACTTGAGCTCAGTCTTGAAAGAAGCTTGAGATTCCAAGAGGCGGAAGTGAGGAGGGCAGATATGGGCAACAGTTTGTGTGAAGGCCTGGAGGCAGGAGATGAATGCCGTGTATGAAGAACAGCAAATAGGAGAGTTTGGCCATGACCCTTAAAGGGGGGAGAATAACACACACAAATAACCAATATCATTCATATTTTTCTATCTCTTTAAGGTTTATAAAGGACTTTCTTTAGAACCATTTTGTGAGATGGCTAGTGTAAATATTTTTATCCTGATTATATAGATGAGGAAGTAGAGACTCAGAGAAATTAAATGATATGATGGACATAATGGTGGAAAAGATACTCAAACCCAGGTTTTCTGACTCCTGATCCAGCACTCCTTCCACTACCACTTGGATATGGCATTTACTGGTATGGTTATATGTTGAATATGGTAAATGCTGTAAGAGAGAACAAAATGCTATGTGAGCCCAGAGAAGAGGGATTATTTTTGTCCAGGAGAGATAGATAGATCAATAGATTGATAGATGGATGGATGGATGGATGGATGGATGGATGGATGGATGGGTAGGTAGACAGATGTTTAGATGGTAGGATAGATTGAAAAACATTTGTTAATTGCTTACTATGCACTAGAAACTGTGATTAATGTTTGAGATACAAAAACCAGCAAGTAATGTAGTCCCTGCTTTTAAGGAGCATACATTCTAATGAGAGATACCAACACATGAAGGGGATCTGGAGTGGGATTTATTGAATAAAGAAGTGACATGGCCAGGCCATTTTCCTATGCCCAAGGAAAATCACTTGGGCAGTTATGTGGAGCATGGATTGCAGAGCAAAGAGACTCATTTAGGTTCAGAGTCCCAGATGAGAACAGAAGGTCACTTATAGGACAAGTAGTTGCTGGGAAAACCCTGAAGGGCTCTTGACAGTACCTAACTTTAGATGTTGTTATGAAACCATGTATTATACAACAGTTTCTGTATATGTCTTTCCTTTGCTGCACAGGAAGGTACATGAAACAGGGCCAGGAAAACTGTGAAATCAGCAAAGTTTAATTTGACATCCTCCCCTTCCTCTTTCATAGCTTTATCCCTCTCATGCCCTAACCCTTCTGCTCATTTCTAGCATCCAGTACCTTCAGTCTTCCCTTCGGATGGCCTAGACCATAAATGCCCTCTCTTGGGCAGTACCCCAATCTTTCTTTCTTTCAAATCCATATCATAGAATCATAGAATATCAGAGTTTTAAGGGGCCTCAGAGGCCATTTATTCTACTCCATATCTTGAAAAGGATGCCTCATTCCACCTAGTAAACACAGTTGTCACCTAATCTTTGCTGGAAGCAGAGGGTGATATTAGTGGGATGTAGGTATCTTCTATCTCTTAAGACAATCTATTCCACTTTTGTTGCTCTAATTTCCACCTATTTCATTTAATTCCGGCATCTGTGATCAAATAAACGGATTTAGTTCCTTTTCCATAACAGCACCTTTTAAATGCTTGAAGCCAACCCTCAGGTTCCCTCTATGTCTTCCCCTTTTCAGGGTGAATAGTCCCAATTCCTTTAGCTATCTTCATGTGGCCAGAACTTGAGGTCCTTCACCATCTTGGTTACTCTCCTCCCAATATTCTCCAACAAATCATTATCCTTTCCAAGATGTGATTCACAAAATTGACTATATTACAGATATATTTTGATGAGGGCAGAGTACAAAGGGACCATCTAGAAAGGTACAATACTTTTGGGGGAATTTTAGATCCCTTTTTGCCTATGGTATTTCTTTATCAACAGATTTATAGGTCATTTTTAAAAACATTTCCCAATAAGATGTATGTCTGAAAGGATTTGACAAATGGATTTGTCTTTTTAGTTTCCATATTTACAAAGATCTATGCTATGATCTAATCAACTGCCACAATGTACACTGTAACCCCTTCATAACTTACTAGAATCTCTATGACCAATATCACTTAAAATGTGGTGGTCAACTCTTTGTTGAGAAGTCTTGCCATACTTAGCTAGTTTGGCCTGGATGATGCACAAAGTCTTTTGCTGAGTCCATATCTGAGGCCTTTCCCTCGTGGCAGGACACACAAGAGCTTGAATTCCATTGACAAAGACAATGAGAACTCAGTGTCACCTCCATGCCAAGATCAAATATTGGAATAGCATTGTTGTGAAGAATACCAGGCCATAGTGAGGTATGAGTCTTCCCAGGAAGGGTCGCACTGGGACAATGTCTTCATCTAAAAGAATGAACTGTACCAACAATTTTCTGTAGTGGGGTTGGTTGGAGATGTTTTCTTATCACAGACATCTTTCCTGGTGCACTATAGAGGAACAAGAGTGGGTATTTACCGATTTGGTCAATGAACAAGGCGTAATGCCACTCTGAACAAGTGTTCTGTACACTGGTGCTTATATTTTCTTGCAGAAGGAGGCACAATGTAGGAAGTAGTTCAGTCCCAATATGGTTACTTAATGGAAGACCTTCAGTTAGCAGCATGAGTGGATGGTTCCTAGATCAGTTAGTTGTGCACTATCTCACTGATGATTGGCCAAGCCAAAAGCAGAGGTCAGGGATGGCTATATGGCGAATCATAGCTGCACTGCTGTTTTAGGAGAGAAAGGCTGTAGAAACATGTGTCTTGCCCAGGAGTGCACAAAGGATTGTAGTTG